CCACTGAAAAGGAAGATAAAGGCAGTGACATTGACAGTGATGCAGGTGAGCTGAATATTAGCTTTCTTATAGTCAAAATGCGTGCCTTAGAGATAAATCGTGAGATAGAATGGAAGAAATTAGAAATGGAAAAAGAGAGACAAGATAAAGAATTAGAGATGAGGCGTTTAGAATTAGAAGAAAGGAAGGCAGAAAGAGAAAGAGAAGAAGAACGAGAAAGAGAAAGAAAAGAACGAGAAAGAGAAAAGAAACGAGAGAGAGAAGAACGAGACAGGCAAGAACGACGAGACAGAGAGGAAAGAGAGAGACAACATGAACTAGAAGTATTGTGGTTAGGTGGTCGGAGGCCAACAACGGAAACCAGTGGTTTCGATCCGGTGAGGAACATCAAAATGGTCCCGAAGTTCAACGAGAAGGAAGTCTCAAAGTTCTTCGCGGCCTTCGAGAAAGTCGCAGCCTCTTTGGAGTGGCCAAGGGAGAATTGGGCCATCATGATACAGTCAGTCTTGACTGGGAAGGCCCAAGTCGCCTACTCCACGTTGTCCCTTGACGACTCTGGCGATTACGACAGGGTGAAGAAAGTGGTGCTCATGGCTTACCAGTTGGTACCTGAGGCTTACAGGCAAAAGTTTAGAAACCTGAAGAAGACCTCAGAGCACAATTTCACCGAATTCGCCACTATCAAGGAGCGACTTTTCCAGGAATGGTGTGCCTCTCGGAAGGTGGAGACCAAAGAAGACCTCGAGCAGCTCATACTGTTAGAGGACTTCAAGGATTGTTTGTCTGGAGACCTGAAGACGTACTTAGAGGAACAGCAGGTAGAGACCTTGAGTGCGGCAGCCACAATGGCTGAGGAATACATCCTGACGCATAGGCCGTCTGCTAAGTACGTCCCGAGGAATTACCCCCGCCGGTTTGACAAACCTCGTCATGAAGAAGAAGAGAGACCCGTCCCACGAAGCGCTGAGAAGACGCCCCCAAGTAGCCCTCGAAGGACTAGTCCTAGCAGTCCGAAACACCGGAGTCCGAGGAGGAATGTGGTGTGCTGGACTTGTGGGCAGAAAGGGCATGTAGCTGCTATGTGCCGAGGCAGAAGAGGTAGCGGCCCACGTAGGGAGGTGATGTTGATGCGCTGTGTGACTCTACCAGAAGGAAGCCAGTCGACGACTACGCCGGAAGAACCAAGATTGTTTTCCCCTCACACTTCAAGCGGGTATGTAAAGAGTGATCATACTGGTAGATCAGTCGTAGTGCTCAGAGATAGTGGAGCAGCCCAGTCCCTGATCGTGAGTAGCTCGTTACCCAAGGGAGTGAGAGTAGACGGGAGACAAAAGGTTATCCTGGTTGGGTTTCCGAGGACGCAGTACATCGCCCTCTTAGTGCTGGTACATCTCGATTCGCCTTACTTCAGCGGCACATGTGCGTTGGCAATAGTCGATACCCTCCCTATAGCTGGGATTGACGTGATACTAGCCAACGACTTGGTGACAGATTGGAGCACCAATCATCCCAAGGTCGCGGACGAGTCAGCCGGAACAGCAAGGTCAGAAGTAACGGCTGGAAATGGTAATATCCAGGTACAGACAGACCCGGAATTAAATACTATGTTTAATCTGTCCTCTACCCGACAGCTCGACAACGTTCTAGCAGAGTCTCCTGATTCTTCTCCCGACGAGGAACATACGGTTATGATGACAGAAGCGACTGAGCGAGAAGAGAGGTCTTGGGTGCAAGTACCCACGGATACCAAAGAGTCTGGAGCGAAGGCGGATGTGTACTTGCGGTATGGCAAGGTACAGCATTCATTGAACCGGCCAGAGATTCCCCAGACGTCAGAGGTATGTGAGGTATGTTCGAAAGGTCGAGTGCCCTCTTTGGTCCAAACCAGGCTAGTGGATATTGCCGGTTATGGACATGACAGGCTCAGGAAGCTAATCCCTCAGTTAACCAAATGTTTCTTAGCGGTGTTTTGTTTTGTTCTCATATGTGTTCTCAGTAAGGACCAGTGGACGATCCGACAGATGATGGCTCCCATGAACATCGCGAAAAGACCCCAGGGATTGGAGACGTGCACTGTGAGTAGTGCAGTCGAAGGAGGGACCTGGAAGGTGATGGTAGATACAGAAGGTACGAGACGTGATATTATGAGTGACTGTTTCCGACAGGTTGACACCCCCCGCGTGATTGCTGAGCCTAAATGCAGCGTTATACGGAACGTTGGTCGACCTGACGGTGGCAGAGTGAATGCCATCTTCGATGTACGAGCAGCCCTATTGGAACTAGGTGTGAGCCTAGTAGAGGCGTATGCTGTGAGTACTGATTTGACTGTCGCTGTCACTCTAAATAATCAGACCCCTGTATTCCAGGTTCCTGTCTCCCTGAAGGACTACCGGACCGGCACCAGAAATGCCGTTTGTAACCAGCCATCATCGGTGCCACGACACAGGGAAGTGTCGAGTCACCCCAGATCGTGTCGATACCAATCCTTACTCGAGAGATGTGAGAATATGCCCCTGCTTGACATCGCAGTGGAGATGTGGAAGTTGCAATAGGCAAGCCATTACCTTCCATCTACAAGTTTCCTTCATGCCAGAGTTGCCCAGTGGGACAGTTCTGTGGACAAGACAGCCTCACCACTCCAGTTCATAGTGTACGTGAGTCTGTGTGGAATTGTATCCACATACTAATTTGGTTTGTGTTTTCTTTATAGAACCCCAAACCAAATTCGTTTTGGTGGGGAGGTGTTACGAACCCGAATCCAGCGTCCGAGCCTGGAGCAGTGACGACCACGCCATCTGTGGGTCAGCTCCCGAAACCCCCTCCAAATGGACGACGACACCTGGTGAGGACGAGGTGTACTGGCCACGAGGGCCAGTTTCCAGTCCTGTTCAGCTCACAACACAGCCGCTGCTGACCTCTGGTGAGGTGGTGCTCAGACGACAACGCATCTATGGAGTGGATAGGTGGGCGTTTGGGTCTGAGCCTATAAGTGAGGTGCTTTTGTGTGTCCCTGTTATTGATGACGTGTCTGCTTACAGAGTCGACCTGGGACTGCTGTAAGGGAAGTTGAGTCAGTCTACCTAAGGCAGCCGTCTCGTCACCAAGTGTTTGCTGCAGCAGCTGTGAGTCGCCCCCCGGATGAACACTGTGGTGTTACCCTGCCTATGAAGTGGCAGTTGAAGGATTGTCATACCCGGGACTGACTGGTGGAGACGCTTAACCACTGGGGTGTTATGGAAAGGAGAGTGATCTGTGGTATCATACGAGGCTCCTGACTAGGGCGCGACCCTAGTATCGCTCGTGGAGTGGCCTAACCTGCGTCGCTGATTTGGAACCTGCCAGCTATCTGCTGGACTTGTGGTTGACGGCCTCCACGACGGTGCCCCAGTGGAACTGTGTTTTGGCTGGCCTGTGGCCGGGGTAGACTCAAGATTCTCAAAGGATTCGTCGTGAGGCCACGAGAGCACCAAGAGCTTGGCACCGTGAAGATCCAGAGTCTTCAGAGGAAGACAACCGTGTAGATAATAGTGTTTATACCCCACCCCCCACCCACCCCCCGTGTAATCTTCTTATATATATTTATTGGTGAAGGTGTTAATTATAATATTAAGTTTTTGCCTTTCTTTCCCTTCCCCTTTATTTTACTTGCGTTACGGATCACATCCCTTGAAAGCCACTACTGGCTTGGGGCCGGATACCCTTCCTCTAACAACATCAGAGTAAGAACCCGATTGCGACCCGAGAGGGCCATAACAGTATGCGGCCCCAGCATGGAGCCCGTACCTTGTCAAGCACAAGACGAAGCTGGAAAAAGTCCAAAGGTATGCCACTAGACTAGTCCCAGAACTAAGAGGCATGAGTTACGAGGAAAGGCTGCGGGAAATGCACCTTACGACACTGGAAGACAGAAGAGTAAGGGGAGACATGATCACAACCAACAAAATCCTCAGAGGAATCGACCGGGTAAACAGGGATAAACTATTCAACACTGCTGGGATGCGAACACGGGGACACAGGTGGAAACTGAGTACCCACATGATCCACAGAGACGTTAGAAGGAACTTTTTCAGTGTCAGAGTAGTTAACGGATGGAATGCATTAGGCAGTGATGTGGTGGAGGCTGACTCCATACACAGTTTCAGATGTAGATATGATAGAGCCCAGTAGGCTCAGGAATCTGTACACCAGTTGATTGACAGTTGAGAGGCGGGACCAAAGAGCCAAAGCTCAACCCCCGCAAGCACAAATAGGTGAGTACAAATAGGTGAGTACACCAGGAAGCAGCCCGTGACAGCTGTCTAGCTCCCAGGTACCTATTTACTGCTAGGTAACAGGGGCTTCAGGGTGAAAGAATCTCCGCCCATTGTTTCTCGCCTGCGCTGGCGGCGGCGGTGTGTGAGTGTGTGTGTATATGTGCGTATGCATGTTTTATGTAAGAGATTCGGTGAGTATGACATTCTCAAGCCTAGTTCCTCAGTTCTTTACCCCTCCCATGGCACCCCCGTCTCCCCCTCCCAATTCCTCCCTTCCACTCCTCTTCCTCCAGTTCCATCCCTCCCTCACCCCTCCGGATACTTAAGAATCGGTTAGGGTTTGTGAAGGGCCAGTCAGCGAGCACGTCCTCAGTGGCAAGGTAACACAGCCCCAATAAGAACAACACCCAGCCCGTCCCAGTGCACAGCAACACTCAAAGGACAAATTACCTGTCCCAGTGCACAGCAACACTCAAAGGACAAATTACCTGTCCCAGTGCACAGAAACACTCACAGGAAACACTACCAGTCCCAGTGCACATTAACACTCCAAGGACAAATTACCTGTCCAGTGCACAATGGCACTCTCATTACCAACTACCAGTTCCAATGCACAGTAACACTTTAAAATAACACTACCAGTCGCAGTTCACCCTAAACTTTCCAGGGCACACTACCAGTCCCAGTGTGACCTAGAAAAGTCACACTGTAACACTCTCAGGATACACATTACCATTTACATTTCAGCGAAACACTCAATACACATTACCAGTGGCAGTGCACAGAAACACAAATGCAATACTACCAGTACCAGTGCACACTACACTCTCAGAACAAACTACCAGTCCCAGTGCACCGTAACACTCAGAACAAACTACCAGTCCCAGTGCACCGTAACACTCAGAACAAACTACCAGTCCCAGTGCACCGTAACACTCAGTTCAAACTACCAGTACCAGTGCACCGTAACACTCAGTTCAAACTACCAGTACCAGTGCACCGTAACACTCAGTTCAAACTACCAGTACCAGTGCACCGTAACACTCAGTTCAAACTACCAGTACCAGTGCACCGTAACACTCAGTTCAAACTACCAGTACCAGTGCACCGTAACACTCAGTTCAAACTACCAGTACCAGTGCACCGTAACACTCAGTTCAAACTACCAGTACCAGTGCACCGTAACACTCAGTTCAAACTACCAGTACCAGTGCACCGTAACACTCAGTTCAAACTACCAGTACCAGTGCACCGTAACACTCAGTTCAAACTACCAGTACCAGTGCACCGTAACACTCAGTTCAAACTACCAGTACCAGTGCACCGTAACACTCAGTTCAAACTACCAGTACCAGTGCACCGTAACACTCAGTTCAAACTACCAGTACCAGTGCACCGTAACACTCTCAGAACAAACTACCAGTCCCAGTGCACCGTAACATTGAGGACACATTATCAGTCTCAGTGCACAGTAACACTATCAGCATACATTACCAGTCCTAGTGCACAGTAGCACTCTGAGGACAAATTATGAGTTCTGTTGTGCACAGTAACGCTCATAGTAACAATCAGTCCCATTGAAAAGTAATACTCTCAAGACATACTACCAATCCAAGTGCACAGTAACACTCAGGACACGCTACGAGTCCCAGTTCACAGTAACACTCTCAGGACAAACTTCACATACCAGTGCACAGTTACACTTTTAGGACTCACTATCAATCACAGTGCACATAAACACTCTCTAAACACACTATCAGTCTAATTGCACAGTAACCCTCTCAGTTCTCATTACCCGTCTCAGTGCACAGTAACACTCTCAGGACACACTACCAGTATCAGTGCACAGTAACATTCTCAGAAAAACACTACCGGTCACAGTGCACAGTAATAGTATTAGGACGCACTAAAAAATCTAGTGCACAGTAACAGTATTAGGACGCACTACTAGATCAAGTGCACAGTAACAGTATTAGGACGCACTACTAGATCAAGTGCACAGTAACAGTATTAGGACGCACTACTAGATCTAGTGCACAGTAACAGTATTAGAACGCACTACTAGATCTAGTGCACAGTAACAGTATTAGGACGCACTACTAGATCTAGGGCGCAGTAACAGTATTAGGACGCACTACTAGATCTAGGGTACAGTAACAGTATTAGGACGCACTACTAGATCTAGGGTACAGTAACAGTATTAGGACGCACTACTAGATCTAGGGTACAGTAACAGTATTAGGACGCACTACTAGATCTAGGGTACAGTAACAGTATTAGGACGCACTACTAGATCTAGGGTACAGTAACAGTATTAGGACGCACTACTAGATCTAGGGTACAGTAACAGTATTAGGACGCACTACTAGATCTAGGGCACAGTAACAGTATTAGGACGCACTACAAGATCTAGTGCACAGTAACAGTATTAGGACGCACTACAAGATCTAGTGCACAGTAACAGTATTAGGACGCACTACTAGATCTAGTGCACAGTAACAGTATTAGGACGCACTACTAGATCTAGTGCACAGTAACAGTATTAGGACGCACTACTAGATCTAGGGCGCAGTAACAGTATTAGGACGCACTACTAGATCTAGGGCGCAGTAACAGTATTAGGACGCACTACTAGATCTAGGGCGCAGTAACAGTATTAGGACACACTACAAGATCTAGGGCGCAGTAACAGTAGGACGCACTACCACTCCTAATGACACTTATGGTCCGGTTTGTTCTGCTAATCTTACAATGACAGGTAAGTGTGCTCATGGTCAGGCTTATGCTGTTATTATTATAGCAGTGGATGAGTGTGCTCATGGCCAGGCTTATGTTGTTAGTATTATAGCAGTGGTTGAGTGTGCTCATGGCTAGGCAGATGCTCTTAATCTTCCAATTACAAGTGGGTTTACTCATGGCTAGTCTTATGCTGTTAGTATTATAGCATTGGATGAGTGTGCTAATTGTCGAACTTCTTTTGTTAGTGTTATAGCAATGGATAAGTGTGCTCATCTCCAGGGTCATGCTGTTAGTATTATAGCATTGGATGAGTGCTTATGGCTATTCTTATGTTGTTGGTATTATAGCAATGGTGAGTGTGCTCATAGCTAGGCTTATGCTGTTTGTATTATAGCAGTAGATGAGTTTGCTGAATGTCGGACATATGCTGTTAGTATTATAGCAGTGGATGAGTGTGCTAATGACCAGGCTGATGATGTTAATATTACAGAAGTGGAACAGTGTGCTCATAGCCAGGCTTATGCTGTTAGCGTTATTGCAGTAGACGAGTTTGCTCTTGGCCAGGTTTATGTTGATAGTATTGTAGCAGTGGATAAGTGTGTTCATAGCCAGCCTTATGTTGTTAGCATTATAGCAGTGGATGACTGTGTTCTTGGCCAGGCTTATGGCTATTATTTGTTTTTTATTTATTTATATATACAAGAGTTCTTACATTCTTGTTCAGCCACTAATCGCGTAGCATTTCGGGCAAATCCTTAATCCTATGTTCCCTGGAGACCCCGTGAAATATCATTTTTACAACCTAGCACCCATTTTACTGTTGAGGTAAACAGAAGCTACTGTTAGGGAATTGTGCTCAGTAAATCCTCCCCGGCCAGGATACGAACCCAGGACAAAGTGCTCGCAAAACGCCAGGCGAGCGACTTAACCACTGTTGTTAGTAGTATAGCAGTGGATGAGTGTTCTCATTGCAGGCTTATGTTGATAGTAGTAAAGCACTGAATGAGTGTCTTCATGGCCTGGCTTATGTTGTTAGAATTATAGCAGGGGGATGAGTGTGCTCATGACCAGGTTTATGATTATTGGTTGTTAGTGGTATAACAGTTGATGAGTGTGCTCATTGCCAAACTTATGTTGTTAGTATTACAGCTGTGGACGAGTGTGCTCATGATCAGGCTTATGTTGTGAGTGTTTTAGCAGAAGAAGAGTGTGTAGATGGTCAGGATTATGTTGTTAGTATTATTGCAGTGGATATGTGTGTGCTAGTATTAAAGCAGTTGATAAATTTGTTCATGGCTAGGCTTATGTTGTTAGTATTATAGCATTGGATGAGTTTGCTGATGGTGACGCTTATATTTTTAGTAGTATAGCAGTTTTTGAGTGTGCTCATCGCCAGGCTTAAGCTAATAATATTGAAGTGGATTAGTGTGCTCATGGCTAGGCCTATGTTTTTAACATTATAACAGTGGATGAGTAACCTCATGGCAGGCTTATGCTGTTATTATTATTGCAGTGGAAGAGTACGCTCATGTCCAAATTTATGCTGTTAGTATTATAGCAGTGGATGAGTATGCTCATGGCTAGGACTATCCTGTTAGTATTATAGCAGCGGAAGTATGTACTCATGGCTAGGCTTATACTGTTAGTATTATTGCAGTATATGAGTGTGCTTATTGCCAGGCTTATGCTGTTAGTATTATAGCAGTAGATGAGTTTGCTCATGGTCAGGCTTATAGTGTTAGCACAATAGCAATTAACTAGTGTGTTCATGGCCAGGCTTATGCTGTTAGTATTATATATGTGGATGAGTGTGCTCATGACTTGGCTTATGCTGTTAATCTTATATGAGAGGTAGGAGTACTTATGGCTAGGCTTATGTTGTTAATATTATAGGAGATTATGAGCGTGCTCATGGCCAGGCTTTCTCTGTTAGTGTTATAGCAGGTTATAACATTATTATTGCAAGTAACATTATTATTGCAATAATGGAAGGATTAGTTAATGATTTGGTGAGTTTGGTTGGAGCTCTGAGAGCAGAGATGGATTCCCTGCGGGAGGAGGTACGACGGCTGAGACTTCGGGAGGAAACGAAGGAGGAGGCCAGTGTTGACGAGACCTCATCGTGGAGAGTGGTGAAAGACAGGGGTCTTAAGAAGACCTTGACAAGGCCGCCTACAGAGGCCCTAAGGACGGCAAATTCATTTGCCGTGTTGGAGGACGAGTGCTGTAGTACGCCTGCAGCGAGGAAATCAGCGAGGAACGGCGGAGCGCAGGCCCCTCAGGCTGCTCAGAAAGTTAGGGCGGTACCGAAGCGAATTTTGGTTGTGGGAGATTCCCAGGTGAGGTATTTAGACAGAACGTCTTGTGCCAGAGATAGGGAGAACAGATTAAGGGTTTGCTATCCGGGAGCTGGAATTGGTGATATTGTTGAAAACATGAATGATATTATGACGGGAAATGGGAACAAACCCATTATTTGTATTAGTGCAGGGGGAAATGATCTTGGGCGAGTTAGGAGTGAGGAACTAATACAGAAATTTAGGACAGCCATTGAATTAGTTAGGAGCAAGGGAGGAATCCTGATCATATGTGGCATTCTTCCAAGAAAGGGAGTGGGGAATGAATCGATGTCGAGGGCACTTGGTGTCAATTGCCGGCTGGAAAGATATTGCAAATCAAATGCAATATCTTTCATAGACAACTGGGAACGCTTCTATGGAAGAAATGAAATGTATGCTCGTGATGGGGTGCATCTATCGAGGGCTGGGGTTGTTGCTGTTGCGAACTCGTTGGAACCAGTGGTTAGAGGTGTTTGTTTGGGTTTTAAACTGTTAGTAGATAGTGGTATGGGAATTGATTTGGAGGAAGGAGGTAATAAAAGTATGTGTTCGTGGGAGGAAAAGAATTGACAAAATGATCAGGGAAAGAAAAGGGCCTCAAAATAACAATTCACTTAGGATATATTACACAAACAGTAGAAGTCTAAGAAATAAAATTAATGAATTAAATGCTCTTGTCTGCACAGAAAAAATAGATATTATTGCACTTACCGAAACGTGGATGAACGAAGAAAATAGAGAACTATTAGCTGAATATCAGATAAATGGATTTAAACTATTTCACACAGATAGATATATTAGACGAGGAGGGGGAGTAGCCATATATGTTAGGGACAATTTGAAATGTAGTCTCAAAGAGGAATCAAAACTGAGCCACACACAGAAACTATTTGGATAGAATTAAACGAAAAGCAAATAATATTATAATAGGAGTTATATATAGGCCACCAAATTTAGACAGAATGGAAGCAAAGAATCTATGGAATGAAATATCTAGAGCATCTAGATCTAACAGTATTTATGTCATGGGTGACTTTAATTTTAGTGGAATAAACTGGGTGAACAAAACAGGGAATAGTGAAGCAGGAGATTTTCTAGAATTAATTGACGATTGCTTTCTTACGCAACACATTAAGGAACTAAGGCGGGGAAAATAATATTTTAGATTTAGTGTTAACTAACAGGGAAACACAAATTAATGACATCGAAATAGGGAGAGAGCTAGGGAACAGTGATCACAAAGTAATCAGATTTAGCATAGAATGGAATAGACCTGTAGGAGAAAATTCTGTTAAAGTGCCAGATTTTCGAAAAGCTGATTTTAATAGCCTAAGAAATTTTTGGGTCAAATAGATTGGAAA